TACAAGAAGAATTTAATCGTCGATCACCATTAGAGAATTTATGTTTTGAAGCAACAGAATCAAGTTATTTAGATATATTTCCACATGAAAAACTTATTTATTTATCACCAGATTCAAATGTTGAAATGACATCATTTGATCATGATGCTGTCTATATTATTGGTGGAATTATTGATCTTAGTAGGTACTTTTTTAATGAACCGCTGAGCGCTCTCCTTCGAAATCGATCTAGAAATAGAATAATACATTTAAATCATATGAAATTTTTAGGACGTATTAGAGCTGTAGTGAAGAGACTATGGTAAAATTTTCAATCCTTTAACATGATGTTTTCCAGAGATATTCAATAAACAAAGATAAAAAATAGGAGTATCCTGCACAGGTACGATTTTTCGTATCCGAACCAGAATTAAGGGTACCCCCCCTCTTTTTCATGATTTTTAGATCTCAAAGACGGTTCAACCGATCGGATTGAAATTTTTACCACAGATAGAGCACCTAAAATAAGGAGACACGTCTTCGAGGAAAAATTTTTTCAAGAGGGTTTTCATGGTTTTTTTTGGAAAACCATGGTTTTCCATAGATCCTCATCTTGCCATGGGAAACCCTCATCAAACTTTGTCCGATTGGGCTGAAAATTTTTTTGCATATAGCTACGATTATATCTCAGAGGTAGTTTTGAGCTTTCTCAAAAATCTCACTTTCTTTTTTTTTTATGAAACAAATACGTAAAGGTTCTTGAGCAAACCCGGTTTTTAGCTGGAAACTTTCACATATTTGTCTCATAAAAAAAAAAGAAAGTGAGATTTTTGAAAAAGCTCAAAACTACCTCTGAGATATAGTCGTAGCTATGTGCAAAAAAATTTTCAGCCCAATCGGACAAAGTTTGATGAGGATTTCCCATGGCAAGATGAGGATCTATGGAAAACCATGGTTTTCCAAAAAAAACCATGAAAACCCTCTTGAAAAAATTTTTCCTCGAAGACGCGTCTCCTTATTTTAGGTGCTCTATCTGTGGTAAAAATTTCAATCCGATCGGTTGAACCGTCTTTGAGATCTAAAAATCATGAAAAAGAGGGGGGGGGTACCCTTAATCGACATCCGGCAGAGACTTTCATAGTCATAGTACAGTTTTCAAACGTTTGATTTATGTCTCAAATTCTACAAAAAAAAAAAAAACAAATAGTTCAGGATTCACTTGGTGTCCTTCTGCTTCTAAAATTCGATCAATTTCGCTAAGTATACATTTGTTTGTTGCTGATAACGTTGAAATGAAATGCAGTGTTAGTGCCAAACGTTATACTTTTGAATACATACATGAATGCTTTTTTCTATCACGATAATACATGTTCATCTTTTTGATAGTTCATTTTCCTCTGCATGTATTCGATTACTTCATCATCTGTAAACGAATACTCTTAGTAAAATAATATTACTTTTCACTTCTGTGATCTGTTCTCAAGCACAATAAATTGCTCGATCATGATCAAACCCGATTTTCAATCCTATGTTTTCATATAAATTAGCAGTTTGAAAAAGTAAAAATAATTTAAAACATTGAAATTTCATTAATTGCTGAATACTCAATCAGATTAGACGACACTAAAAAATAGTTCATTTGACAATCTGAAATTCTCTATAAGACTTAATTCAATATATTTAATTACTTTTTTATATGAAAGAATATGACAGAATTATTTCTTTTTTTAAATCCTTACTTTTTATGCGTAGGAAAAAAAAATGATGAGTTCAATAGGTTGAAAAAAAATCTCAGAAAAAAAAATGTTTTCTATTCATATAAGTGCATTTTTATATAATAATAAGAAAGCTTCATTCAAAATATGAGTACTATGAGGCACTGTAGTTACACATGCTCTTTCAGACAAAACAAAAAAAAAAACTAATTGGCTACAATGAAATTCTTTCGAGAAATTTGAGAAGTGGCACGATGAGAAAAATATAAAGAGATAATAAAAAAAAGACAAAGATTTTCTGCTTTTTTTTAGAAACAAAAAGTATATTCTTCAAGCATAAGATTATGAAAATCATTGAAAGTTTTTGAAAAAATTGACATGTCAAATTAAAAAATCATATTATTTATAAAAGAGTTGACTTCAACTACTCTATCTCATGATTTTATCTTAATTTTGATAAAGAATCTGACGGAAGTAAGCAATTTTTAGAGGAAAGAGGTGGAATAGAAATATTTCTTTTTTTTTGTATCTACTAGATTAGATTCTAAGTAAATTAAATGTAAATATTATAGAAACTGCGATTATTTTCGTTTTAAACTGTAAAGATAAAATAAAAAATAGTTCTTAATGCATAGTACAGAGCTCGAAAAATCGATAGATCAATATCGAAAGAGAATAATTGAAGAAAACCTATAAGTAAACTAATAAAAATCAATCTATATTTTTATTCTAAAAAAGTTTTCTATCGACATATAAAATTAAACTACAATTTCAATCAACAAATTTACAGTAAAAATAATAATAATAAAACAGATTGATAACAGTTTCTAAAAATAACCAGGTCAAATATAATTTCTCTCTTAGAATTTATTTCTTTGTTTATTGAAAAATATAGAATATCAACAACTGTCGAGTATTAACAAATCTATAAGTAGGTTCCAACGAATCTAGTAGAAACCTATAAGAGTTAACAAACTGCACGTTCACTTTTTTGTGAAATCAGACCTTCAGTTCCCTAAATAAGTGTTCGTTCCTATGCACTGTTCTTCCCTAGTAATTACAATTTTATTGACTTTTCTCCTATAGAAAACATTGACCTATCATACCTTTCCTTGTGGCACATAATTGTTGTTGAATATTGAATATCTCAAGGAAATTTTGTAATATAATGTTTTTGCGAATACTTTGCTCGAGATAAGTAATGGTAATAATATAGGAAGTACAGCGTATGAGAAAGAATCACTGTAGGCTTCTAATAATCTCGCTAGGGCTTATGGAAACAATATCAATTTCATTAACGAGTCACATTTGGAGATCTTCCTTTATCATTTGGAAAATTTCAGCTAATTGCTATTCTTTATCATATATATATATATGCATTTATAAAACTATCTATCGCCAATTTTAATGAAATAATATTGAATAATTTTTCTTTTTGTATATTAATAGGTGGTAAAAAACCATTAACATTTGCTAAAGCAAAACGTGACAACATTAAACATCAACGATTTCCTATTGATCGATATGTAAAGTATGTCTTGTTCAATGAAAATTTTATTTATTTATTTTTTTTAATATAAATTATTCGAATTAGATTTGGTGGTGGTAGTGGTAAAACATTAACACTTGATCAAGTGTATAATATTTTAATGACATTAAAACATACTGGTTCTTGGGTTGAAGCATTTAAATATATTCCGTAAGAATATTAGTTTTTTATTTAATATTAATTTTTTTTGGATAACTTTTTTTCTAGTGATCGAAAAGTAGTTGAACGTTATTCGGAAAAATTGGAAGATAAACGACTTGATTATGAAAAATTTGGTCGATGGACAGGTTTAAATATTAAACATTAAATCTGGTGTTTAATGATTTGTTTGTTTTGTTTTGTTTTTTTTTACAATGAAAAGAAAAAGAAATAAAATTTCTACATTGTTATTGCTATTGCAAACAAAAATGAATTTTCTTGTTATTTGCGTGTATGATACTAAACAAATTCATAAATCCATTTAATTAATTCTTTTATCATAGAAATATTCTTGCTTCAAAAAGTATAAATGTCTTGAAAATTAATATTTTTTTTTTTTTTTTGTTTTTAGTAGAAAACAATGAGACTCATTACTAACATTCTGTAATTGTGATGTCAATATAGCGGATAAAATCTATAATATATACAAGTTTCAATTTCTATTTTCAAATGCTAATTGTTTCTATAAATGAACAATATTGAATTATAAGCTTGTTAAACTTCAAAAGAAGGTTTAATTAAAACAAAAAGTAGTTGAATCGTGTTTTTTATACGAGAGAACATGTCTAAGTGTCAACTTGTTTTTGAGTCGAGACTATATGCCGCATGTAGGTTCTAATGAACTGTGAATACCCTGAAAAGAGTTCGAGCTAATAGCTTATTACTGCCGCAATACTGTATTTTCATCAGAACGCTGTGATTCCCCGCAGGAACATCAGAAAAAACATGAATGTCAAATTTCGACTTGAAATTTTGGTTAGAGACATACGTTAATAAGAATAGTTTATTGTAAGTTTCAAATCTTTTGATTATTTCTATCTTAAGATACGGCAAAAGGTAAAACTATGTTTTTTTTTAACGCTGCTTTATATATAACGATAAATTCCCTATGTTCTTATTTCAAAATAGATGCAATTGAAAAATCTTAAACTTTCATAATAAGATATTCTCGTTAAGGTTTATATCTCTATGCAAAGTTTCAAGTGAAAATTCGAAACTCCTGAGGAAGACTATGACATTCTATTAAATATATAATATCTCGCCAGTAATAAGCTAATAGCCTGAATTCTTTTCAAAGTATTCATAAGTTATTAGAAGTTACATGATGCATATAGCCTCGATTCAAAAGGAATTTGTTTCTTCGTTATTTGATTAAAATATTTGAAATTATTGAAAAAATTAACGATTTGATATTGACTCGATTTTCTACATCTAATAAGACATTCATATTGAAGACTATAAAGCGTTTGATTTAATTCTTATTTCAATTATATAAACCCAGAGATGCATAGAATTAAATTATCTCAATCTACGTAAAGATCTAAATTATATACTTATGGTAAAAATAGTATTTCATGAAATTTACATATTTCTTTCTCGAATTCGTAATCATACCATACACTTGAATGTCGAGTATCCTAGAAACAACTCTAATTACGATCTCTCTCAATCTAAATATATATTACTTTTTTATTTTTTTTTTTTTTATAAAGCAAATACATTTTTTTATATATTTAAAAAAAGAAAAAATAAAAGAAAAAATAAAATAAAGAATCTTATTAAACAAATTTGACACGATGTGCTGTTGCTGGTGTCAAATCATCAGTTTTCTTTTTCATACAACTTGGAGTTGAAATTTTTAGACGATTTTCATTCGGTACAGTTAAATTATATGTTATTGTTGTATTATGATTTGTTGATAATTGTTGATATGATGAATTTGGAAAAGGTGATTCAGTCATATTTATTGATGAATTTGATATATTTTGTTTATCATCATTTATATATTTTGGAATGTGTAAATGTGCTGAATCTACCATTGAATTTGATGCTGATCTTGGTCGATTATCTGATGGATTATATAAAACAGCCATTGTTGCTGATGATCGTCGACGTGCTATAGCTGCCCAAATATCTGAATCATTAGTTGATAAACGTCTTGATGATCTACGTATAGCATCTAATATTGGTAATCCTCCAGATGGACCAGTTCGATGTGCACTTATACCATCTAATGCAGATAAGAAAGGATATTGTCCACGACGAAAAAAAATATATAAAACCATTTCACGAAAACGTTGACCAAATACAGCAAATAAAAAGAAATTAACAAAACCATTAAATGCAATTAATAAATTTGCAAATGTATTAAAACGTTGAAGAGAATTTTGATTTAAACATGGTGATAATTGTACAAATAAATTAACAAATAAATTAACTGAACGACATAACATAAATGTTAAAACAATGACAATTAACATTATTGTTATACGTATATCAGCTTTCATACGATGACCTAAACGTTTTTTTTTCTTTCTTATTAATAATAATTGATGAATCATACTACCATTACATAATGTTAATAATGTAAATGGTATAACAAATGTTATAGGAACATTTAAATAAAAACGATATATTGATAAATATATTGCATTTGAACCAAGACTTGTATATGTTAATTCAACAAGTTTACTTGTAAAAATAATTGTAGGAGCTGTATCATTATTAAATGTAAAATTTGTTATTGCATGAATTGTTTTTATATGTCTTGTTGCTGTACGATATTCAAACCAATGTGGTAATATATAAATATTAACAATGATAAAAACAAGTAATACTAAACGTAATGCCATTTTACGTGTACGAACTTTTTCAGCTATTAATGGCCAACAAATTAAAAAATAACGATCACCACTAAGTAGAACAGTTAAATAAGTACTTGAAAGTAAAAGCATTGATAATAATGGTGTTGTAAGTGGTGCAACATGTGCATAAAATTGTTCATAAGCATTAGCTAATAAAGCATTTCTATTTATTCGATCCGGTCGACGTAAATATGCTAATAGTTCAGGATAGGAAGCTATTTAAAAGATATAACAAGATATATTAGATTATTAATAAAATTCGAAAATATTTTGTTTTTTTACCAATAGATTTTAATGAATAATTAATCATTAGACCAGCCAAAAGAAATATATTGCATACAGATAGTGCCATTAGATAAACATGTGTAGAACTATTTCGCATACGTGGATGTGATAGAACAATAACCGTGAAAATATTGGTAACAATACCTAAAGTTTAGAAAATAATGTCTTGTTCTCTTTTTATTTTCTTGTTTTTTTTTTTTTTTTTACCAAATGAACAAAAAAGTAATGTAAGCCATCCACCGACTATATATTTGATAGAAACTGTAGAAGAATCGATTAATTTCGGTTCGGCAGAACAATTGAGCGACATCAATCGTCATCTGTATTCATAAAACTTCATATGAAAAATAAGTTTGTCTAGAAGAAAAATAAAACTATTAAATTAAATCTTGGTTTTAGATTTCAATAAAAAAAAATTCTTTTCTCTTATTTATCTTTCAGCGGAACTAATTAGACATGTAGTCATACTTGTCATCATTGGTTCTTCTTCTTCTTCTTTTTCTTTTTTTGGCATCTAAATAAAATAATCGAAGGAGACAATGGATATTACTTTAGTCTAAGACTAACAAGCTAGGTCGCAATAGATCTATTCTAAAGAAAAAAAAGAAAGCAAGACGACAACCGCAACGATAAGAATTTCTAATAATCGGCTTTTTTTTTCTCAAACTGTCTATCCAAGAGAAGGAACAAATCGGATGACACGACAATATGTAATTTAGTTAACTACTTTTTTTTCTCGCTGTGACAGCTCTTATTCTACTTAGTTTTCTTCTTTTTTTTCTTCTTTCAATCAGATAAATATTACAATATGCACGAATCCTCTTCTTGTTACCAAGACTACTAAAATTAAAATGATTAAATTTGTAACTTCTATTCTCAAAGATTATTATGTCAAAACAAGATATAAATATTATTGCAATAAAATAACTGTTGTAATTAATTTGAATATTCTAAATAGAATAGAGATTTTATATTATTATATGTAATATAAAGAAAAACAAAAAAAACATAAATCTAAAATCTAGATAAAGATGTTTTTTTTTTCCTCTCTTACCTGAATGTATGCAATGATGTGTTAATAACTCACAAGAATTTTTATTGCACCAATATGCCTGAAAACTAAAAAGAAGTACGATAGCATTCACTACATCTAACTTTATATAAGGAAGAAAAAACAAAAAAAAAAAAAGTATAAAAATAGGAATTTTTTCTTATTTCTTATTTGCATAAGTTCAGACAAATAATACGTTTGGTTTATTGTTTTGCTAAAGAAAATAACAAATTCTAAGCTAAAGAAGAAATTTCCTGTAGCTAACAAGGAAACATCTCTCAACTGCCTATTTTTTTTTCACTTTCTTCATTAGGCTAGTGCCAATAATGATTTATGTTAGAGAGGAACATACATACATAAAAGAAACACAAAAATAGATAAAACGAGAGACAACGTTCAAGATCAATATGTATCTACTTACATTCAGCGAGAGTGATTTATTAAGAAAATAAGAAGAACAAAAAAAGAGATGATAGCGGAGACATACTCTTTTTCGCATCAGAAACTTTTCTTTTTTTTTTTTTTCTTTATTCTAAATAAATAACATATTGGCTAAACTAAATAATGCAAGAAAAAAAAAGAAATTTTTGAAAGAAAACATCTACTATGCTTTTCTTTTTTGAGTCATTATATATATATATATATATATCTATTTGCGTCGATTACTAATAATTGATGATAATCTTTAATATTTATAATCAACTCATTGAGATTATATGAAACAGACAAGAATATAAGAAGAAAAATTATTAAATTTATTTTATATCTTGAAAAAAATTCAATAGCACAGAAAAAGAAATAGAAAGCAGAATGAAAAATATCCATGGAATTAAATAGATCGTGCCTGCCATGAAATACTATGGTGGATTTGTAATTTGGAATTACAACCATTGGGGAATATGACGAAAGCTAGAGATTAAGTGAAGGAGATGGTGTCAGGATATTATTTTAGTAACACGCAATACATATTTAAATCACTAGTATGTCTACGGTCAAAAAAAAAACTAGTCTAAATATTAACCTTTAGTGTTATTTTCGAAATCGAGGAAAGTAGGTCATTTATTGTCGGAAATAAGTATGTCGGCGGTTGTATGTTCATCAACAGTATATATATATATATATATATATATGTTTATGCCGATTAGCGCACTTCAATGAAGTAATATCTTTATCTCTATCGTTTGTCGTCAGTCATCTATATTTAACACGATTGATGTTGTTTTTTTCTGTCGCTTACAGAATTTTTTTTTGAGATCTCAATTCCGCTGCGATTAACATATTTATATGTTGATCACAGTAGATTCTTTAATAAAGAGAATCATTTACGTTTGAGAGAAAAGCAGAAAATGTCGAAACAGAACAACACTTTATAAGATCGATATGTAAACATACTTTCTCAGTCAGGGTTATTCACTGGATTATTCGTAATTGCATTTAATATTTTGTTGACATTGACTATTGTAGAAGTATGGTATTGATCTCGATCTCGCTGTCGTTATATATGAAGAAGGAATGCTCGTTAAGATATCTCTTTATACTCCGATTTGTCTCATAAGGGCGAATACCATCATACAGTCACTGGTATTAGTTTTTTTTTTATTCATATAAGCAGCAATCATCTTGCATGTATGCCATCAATCGTAAGGAGATGATAATCAAATAATCGTTGATAAAATGCGCCAGAATACGGCAATAAGAAAGAAAAAAAGAGCAACAATTTAATGTCTATTTGATAGTAACAGGAGAAAGTAATAGTAAAAGAAACTGCATTATTCAGTCTAACGAACTGCTTCAGATCATAGACGTTGCATCGTTCTTGATACTTGAGAAACTAAAAGAATAGTTCGAGTGCTCCTGACTGACTCAATCATGACGATGATTCTAATAGTTTATTCATTATTAAGAAAATAAAAAAAAGAGAAAGAAATCGCAAAAACAAAATCAAGTAACAATATATCTATATATATACACACATCGAAGTCATTTATATAACCTACAGCATATGTGAGTGATGATGCACATATGGTTTGATTCAAAAAAAAATCACATGCTATTTAGAAAAATACGTCATTTTTTTTTGTTTTTATAAACATAAAAATAGATGTTTTACTTGTATTTAGTATTTGGTAACAAAAATGAATGATGTATTTGTTGATATATTGAAAGATACGAGTAAAAAAAATTCATAAACACGCACATCTGTAATCAGAAGAGAAGTTGACATCTGAACCGTCTTGATTGACAAAATAGCAATTTGTTATTAATATGAGACATACTTAGAAAAAAAAATAAAAAAAAATAAAAAGAAAGCATAAGAATAATAATAAGTGACATTCGCATCACTTCATCTATCAAATCAGACCTTTGGATGATTATTTTGTATTCGTCTTAAATGCATTTCATGATAAAAAAAAGAGAAATCTCTTTTCCGATCTTTCTGACGCGAGCTGAAATCGAATGATTCGATGGCAATATTTTATTGATGTTCGTACGTGCAGAATTTTTTTTCTTCTTTTGATTGTTTTTTTTTTCTTCTCTGCAATATATTATCATAGTATTGATAAAGCAGAATATTCAATCAGATATATATATAAAAGAAAATATGTGACATTACTGATGTGGAACGAAAAATTTATGCTTTGTTTGACATTGAATTCAATGATTAGTCTATCTTTGAATAAGTATAAACTAATTTTGACATTGTCTTTGTAGATTTTTTTTTTTTCTTTCTTTCTAAATCTCTCAATAGTATTTTTTATCAACAAGGACATAAAATAAGAATAATATCATCTAACAATCATATTAAGCAATAATCAAGGTCGAAATAGACGATTCTTATTCATATATAAGATTTTTTTTCTGTTAATAGCTTTCAACTATTTTTCGATCTATCATATTACACATATGGAATATTTCCTTTTCCTTAGTTTATTATAATCATCTTTATCGTTTATTTTACTATTAATGTTTTCTGGAATGCATATCATCGTCAATTGATGTTGTCTTAAAAAATACAGAGATGATGGTAGACCTTGTAAATGATGACTTGTTATTGTACAATAATGTGTTGCTATCAAAGACATTTAAAGCTATGATTGAATAGAGGTGGATTTATTGAGACCTTTTCCTTTTTCTTTTTTTTTATATATAAGATGATGCTTGTTGTTCTATAATTTGATATGACGAAGAAACAACATATCTATTGTTGATATAAACACTTAGTAATATTATTTTCACGAATAAATGTATATGAATTGACAGGTGTCACATCTTTTCAATAACAATCACTTGAAATGCCATGATTGCACACATATAGACAATTATGTATTAACATTTATTAGTTACGTCAATTATTTTACAAATCAAATCTATTTTTATATATTAATCAGTTAGAAAATAAAAATGAATAATAATAATATTGATTTATTGAAATGATTTTTTGTTTTTGCTTATAATGATTTTAAATAATAATTGATTCAAAAAAAAAAAAAATTGAATTCTACAAATAAATATATTTAAATTAGATAGATAAAGTCAAATTGAAATAATGTAAGTATAAATAATCATTTTTATTATTAAGCCTCTGGATATTTATATGTTCTAGTTATTATAAAGAAAGATCATTGACATTTATAAAGAACAAAATACTCATTGACATACTAATCGACGTTCTTAGATCTATTCTGGTCAGATTCTTATTTTTCTCAATCGATCAGTCAAGATTCTTTTCATAGAAAAGAAATAAAAAAACTCTTCTTTGATCTTCAAGACAAGTCACGTGATGTCTGTGTTCATCTATGGGAATACCTAGTCTGACCTAGTGACCCAATTTACTTTCTTCCTATTATGGGCTAAAAACCTAATCATGTTCGGGCCAGATTATCACTTTCATCGCTAAACTACTAAATATAAAATATTAGCTATTGATGGCTGTCATATATGAAATTATTCAGTCACTGAAATCTTGTCCTGTTGTTTTTAAGGGGCTCATTAATTTCAAGTAAGACAGCCATCAACAGCTAATATTTTAAATTTAGTACTTTAGCAATGTGGGTAATAATTTGACCCAAACATGATAAGGTTTTTTGATTGATAATAGGAAAAAAGCAAATTGGGTCACTCAGTCAGATTGGGCATTGTCATATGTATGTATCAACATTTGTAGAATATATTCATTTTCAAATAGTGATATATAATAGTTGTTGTATTCACCTAAACGAACAATAAACATTCTTGTCAAACAATGTTTGATTTGTATGTCAATATTAGGTAAGTGAAATTATTTGATAGTAACAATGGATTCATCAATATATATTAATGAGTCATATTGTAGTTGATTTTAGAGTTTTCGGAAAACAATGTAATTAAAATTATGGCCTAGCGACATGTCAATTATTATCAATTCCAAATGATAAATATAAAGAAAACGAATTGTAATAATAATTAGATATTTTTAGTGTAAACAACATATATATTAATTAAATTTTTTGTTTTTTATTTTTATGTAGATTAGTTGTTTGTATTATTTATTATTTTTTCTAATCAACATATAAAATTCAAGACAGAAAAAAAAGGAAATCTCATAAGAAATATAAGTAAAAAGAAACAAGCAAGAAACTCAAGAATACAAGAATCTTACCAAAAAAGTCAAGATTAGTTTTTTCCAGACAAGAATCATGTATAAAAGGAATGGTAAAAGAATCTTGTCTGATAACAAAGTAACTCAAGAATCTGGAAAGAACAATGCCAAGATCGTTGACTAGTACAATATCTGATTAGATCACGCATCGATGATACAATTGTCAGACAGCATTTAAACATATCATCCAATTGAAAAGAAATCTACTTAAAGCCATGATAACAAGGGCAATGTCATTGTTTGTCTTTCTTTCTTTTTTCTTGTTTCTATTGTTGTTTTCAATTATCATAGTTCTTCAAAAACAAATAAATCATTTGAATGAAGAAAAGAATGACGTCAAAGCTTTATATATATTTAAAAACATAATTTTATATTGAAACATAGAGTATTGCTCAAAATTATCAGAAACAAAATATTTCGAATTTTTTTGTTATAATGTTGAATACCTAACTCAAAACCAAATAGTGGTGATTTCGATAACCATTAAAGTTTTCTATCAGATACAATATATTCAATGTATCATAGTTGAACTACATGTGAAAGTTTTCAGATTTTATAAGACATTGTGAGAGTTCGCTGCTAACATTATCGTTTGAAAGATCACAAAATTCTGAACAATGTGAGAGGTCGCTGCGTGTTGTACGATCTCAAATTACAAAGTTACAAGTATAACAAAACAGGCCAAAAAGGAAAAATTTATCCTGAAAATGGCAGAAATGTACTTTTTGTAATGCTGGTAACACTGTAAGAGAAGCTCGTAAAAAACGCAGTGACTCCTTACAGTGTTTAGAATTTTGGTGCTCTTTTATAGACATTACTATTAGAAACGAGTTCTCACAACATTTTCTGTGATCTAAACAGTACCGTGATAAGTTTTTTCAGAAAACTTTCGCACGTAGTTCAACTATGAGACCTTGAATATAGTGCATTTGATAGAAAATTTTATTGACTATTGAAAGCACTATTTGGATTGGAGTTAGATACTTGCCATCATGGGAAAAACAATCAAAAATACCTTATGATAATGATTTCGAATAGTATTTTACAGCATTAGATTTGTATTTGTTGATTCAAGTTCGTGAAATATGTTTTGATTTGCTTCTGTTGGTTGTTGGAAACAACAATTGATTAAAACCATCAAATCAAATCTTATTTGAATTTTTCAATAGTTACTATTTTCTTGAGATTTTTCAATAGATTCTGGTATTTATCGTACTGTTAAATCAAAGAAATGCATGTAAAAACGATAGCTGATTCTTCTAAATGATAATTCAGTTTAAGTACATTTAAAGCCTCTTATATGTCATGAAAAAACTTAATAGTTCCTTGTAAAAAAAATAAATCTCCTCAACTCTCATTCATTACGGTCGAGATGTAAATCCAAGACATATTTCGATTAATTGATGACGATAAAAATAGAACAACATTCTCTCTTCGATTCACATGGTTTTTTTGTATTCATGATATCAAATGAATAAGCGGAGATAATATGACATTATAAGATCCTATTTCCAAGAAATTCAACTGATATGATTATGAGAATAATTTTACAGAAATAAAAACTCATTAATATGAGAAAATTCATCAATGATAATATTCAAGTTACTCAATTAAGCATTAGCTAATGGTTAACAATAATAAGATAAGGGACGTGACCTAACCTAACCCTAAAGATAAACATTTCATTTCTATATACTTTTCCTAATAAATTAAATTATCCAGCATGAGTCAATGCGAAATAAGATATTGTATCCTTTCAAATGAATATATAAAAATGAATTTTAATTGTACATCATTGACATTTAATCTGCATCGTTTTAGCAGTATTCTTTAGCTTGCATCATTCATTGCATCATAATGTGCAGAAAATTAGAATTTTATTATGAGTCCAAAGGTAACCATCTCTCACAGGTTACATTGACCTTAACTAGTAAAAATAATGGAAAATTTTTCACTTTTACTGAACAAACTTCAGAAGAGACTTATCTACAATATTCTGAATTCGACTACCAGGAATAGTGACAAAGCAAATATTTATCATTAACTTTGATGAGTCAGATTTGATCATTGAGATGATGAAATAGTAAATGAAAAAAAAAAAAGTATTATGTTATCAACTAAAATACTCGTTATCATATAATCGAATATGCAAAGTCATTTTCTTTTGATGAAAAAGGAATAATGTTTACTAGTATCAAATCATTGTAATCCTCAAAAATATAAAAAGAATTTCGATTTATTAGAATTGAAAAAAGATTCAATTTAGTTATTAGTTTTATTTTTTCCTTTTTTTTGAATTTCCGAAGAAAAATATCAACAAATGAATTTATTTTATTCATTATGATCGAATAATAAATATTCCTGTACATAATAATAACTTCAATTTAAATTTAATAATATCAATATTGACAATAAATGTAATTATTACAACTATAAATAAAAATATTAATGTAAAAAATCTACTCATCTGTACAAATTTCTTAACAAAATAAATTACATAAATCCAAAACGAAACCAAGAAAATAACCAAAACAGTATGATATTAAAATATGCACATTCACATAATATCAATTTCATTGTATAAAGTTTGTCTAAGGATTATATATAAAGAAAAAAAAAGATGTGCATCGTCATGAGAATTAAGTTTTGCATACAATGGATATGCACATGATATATACAACCTAATGTTTTATCTAGATCTTCTCGTCCGAAGGAGCGACTTAGAACTCCGGTAGGACAACCACCAATTTTCGAAAGTCAAGACACACAGAATTTGGTACAATAGCCACAAAATCCAATAGAGCTGATCTAATTTTCATAGGGGCACCGCTCCTATACTGGATAAAACACTGAAATAACCGCACATACATGAACGATGTGATAAAAAAAAAAACTCTATCTTGAAAATATCAGTTAACTGTTTGAATAGTTCATAATACAAAAAATGGTAACAATATAAATTAAATAGAATACAACAATACTATATTAAAAACATATTTATTATATTGATGTGTTCATTGAATAGTATTAAAAGTCGATGATGTTTTTATAATAAGATTGAAAAATAGCCTAAGATGGATCATATTGCTATCTTAACTAAAAAGATATAATTTTATGAATTGATTTTATCGTTTAATATAAAACTGAATAATACTCTTAAGATATTCATTATTCGTGGTGATGTATTTCAAAATCATATTGTGATAAGAAACAAAATTGCTTCTAAAAAGTTTACTTAATAAAAAATTGCTCTGATTATTCTTTACAATGATCTTAATTGTTCAAACCAATGAATAAAAATTAGTTTAATATCATTGATTGATAAAATTTTTAAAAAAAATTATTTTTTGTTTTGTGTGTATTATTTACCTATTGAATTTTCATTAAATGAATAATTACCGTTCTATTTCATTGATTCATTAATTTTCATTTTCAATTTATTCATATAATTTAAATTAAAATTCAAGGTATTTTTTTTTCCATCGTATCAAAATTTAAATTATATAAATCAAGAAAATACGAGAACTAAAAACATATGTTTATCTTTTCTTGATTGTGTAAAAAAATCATGTAATTGTGTAAGAACAACATAACTACGTCATTTCTCTCATGCAATACCTTTTTTTTAACAATTTACATATATATATATATACACTAGAAAAAATTATTCCTTCATTTTATGCATTAATTTTAATATAACTATATATTTTTAATTTTCTTTTACATTTAAATATATGTTTATGTATCTTGATTCATAGTCATGCCACGTAAGCTGAGATAAATTCTACATTACACGTCATTAATACACATCGTAGCTACGAACACAAGTCTAACATTCACGCATCATAACATTGTTTTATTAGTAGGGTTTTTTCTTTCGTATTTTTTTTTCATGACTCATGTCGTTAACAATACGTTGGTTGTTTTTCTCTGTCTATTTACTGTCTAGATCTTTCTTTCTTCTTCCTTTCTCCTCTTCTAAGTGAACGAGAAATGGCGAAAAAGAGAAGCTTGGAAAAAAAACAAGGAGAGAAAGAAAGAGAAACATGACTCACGATTACAGTCTATGGTGCAATTTCAATATCTGTAATTACGAAACTTACAAAAAAAACGAGAAAAAAATAGAGAAACGTAGAAAAAAGAACGCCCCTATAAAAAGCGAATAAATTTCAACATTACGACCACTTCTATCGACGTACACTCACTTACTCACACACAGCAACCAACATTCAAAAAGTTGTCTTCGACCAATTTTTCAACAACTAAAACGGTGAAAGTTCATATCTGTACACAAGACCGTATTTATCAAGCGACATTAACCCTGTCGAATACAAAAGAACAAGAGAAAAAAGTTATAACGGCTTATTCACCATTCTCATTCTTTGACGATTCAACACAAACAACATGTACAACACTAAGTATTCCACAATCACTGTTCAGCCAGGAAGCGATAGATTCGCTGCAATACCCGACGAAATCAGCTGCACCTTCAGATTTGGTAAGGATGATCATTATGATCCATTTATTAAATATGAACCTACAGATATAATAGAGAAGGAAGAGAACTTTAAGAATCAAACAGATAATATAAAACTCTCAGCGGCAGCATATAATGAAGCTATAATGAATATAAAAAATCAATTAAAACTCTCATCTTCACTTCAGGTACACAGCTCCGACGGGTCACTTATAAGTGTCTTTAATAGCGAATCTACTCCCTTGGCATCGCCGACTTACACAAATCTTGAACCATCATTAGATCTACCACCTTTCGGCGATTTCTCATTTATTCAACAAATTCTTGATAATACTACCGTAACGACACCTATACCTGATCTTGACTTTGACAGTGACTTATTTGAAAATATACCCGACGATTCTATAACATTTGATCAACTCCTCGATTTCGATCCAACAATGACAATTCAAGAACTTACTAATGTTCCTATGGAACAATATCCTGCACAGGAAATATCTTCATCATTACCATTTGAATCATCACATGATGACACAACAATTTCTTCAGTTAGTTCACCACAATCTGACTATAGTGAACATGATAATGTTATTCAACGTACAGTGAAAAAAAGTGGTCCAGCTGGTAAAGTAGCACGCTTTGGAAATAAACAAGTTATTAAATACTCAGACGAATATCATACTCGACGTGTAAAAAATAATGAAGCAGTTAAAAAAAGTCGAATGAAAACCAAAGAAAAACAAAAAACAAGTGAAGTACAAATGAATAAATTAACAGAAGAAAATCGCATGTTAAATGATCGTGTAGATTTATTAATGAATGAAATACAAGTATTACGATCACTTTACAAAGGACTTAAACCAGATTCAACAATGGAAAGTGGTCAAACATTGAAACGAACTATTGCACCGTGAACAATAACTAATTAAATTCTGGGATTAATTACTCGTGTTCAATCGTCTTTTTCTAAAAAAAAAAGCGAATGCAATCAGGTTTAGAATTAGTTTTCTTGATTTCAAATATAATCATGGATTAAATATGTATATATATCTATATATATATATATATCTCAACGTGCTACTAGCATGTTGTTAAAAAAAAATGTTTTTATTGTTAAATAAGAAGAGAGATGAGCAGTTAATTTGAAATTACATTTTATTTTGTTGCTTGATTGTTCTGTTCAAACGTTTATTTTAAATATAATTAATAAAATATACATATAAACTAACACTATTTTGATGTTGATTCATAAAGTTGAATTCTTTTCTTGTTTTGTTTGTCAATAAAAAGTTCAAATCAAAATATTTGTTGATATATGTTAATAATTAATACAATTAATGGGAAAAAAACCCAGTGAATCATTCATATTCATATTTAGTGAATTAGTAATCATCTCGTCCTCGTTGATTCAAGAGAATGAATCATACGCATCGTAAACAAAATGAAGTTTGTTTTCTTATTGTTAAAATTGATATTCATTTAGCAGATGCTTCACAGTAAATAGATGGTAATATTAAAGGTAGTATTCTCTACAATCACAAAACCATCACATCTTCTAATATTGTATAATATCAGATAATGGAAGAACACTTTTTTTTATAATGGGAAACACAATCTTTAATATCATCATACTACACAATAAAATGCAGTAAAATACCAGCTAAACAAAACTTATAAAACTAATATAGAAAACCTATAAAACACAAAATCCTGTTTTTCAAACCAATGAAAAATACAGAATGAATGAATATGAAATTAAATTCATATTATTCTGAGTTCTTATTAATTTAATTTAAAATGGCAAAAAAATAAATAAATAAATAAATTCATCATTGGTTATGTGAGTCATCTGTAGTTATTGGTGTCGGTAATTGAAAAAATATTTATTGGATAAATATATTATCCAATAGAATTTTTATTTTTTCTTATTGTTGTTTTTTTTTTTTTTTTTTGACATAAAAGAAATTGTTCTTCATATATATATATATTTTTAACCCATCGAATGATATGAATTCAACTGAAGCAAAAAAAGATGATATTTCCAAATGTAAATTAGCACGATTTGGAAATAAAAAAGTTGTAAAATATTCCGATGAATATCATCATCAACGTATAAAAAATAATGAATCAGTTAAAAATAGTCGATTAAAAGCAAAACAAAAACAAAAACAAACAGAAATTCGTATGAATAAATTGGCTGAAGAAAATCGTACATTAAACGAACGTGTCGATTCATTAATGAAAGAATTACAAGTATTACAATCACTTTATAAAGAACTTGGTCAAGATTTACCCGTTGAAGCTGTTAAAGCACTTGAACAAATTAATATCTATTAAATAAATAACAAAAAACGATTATTTTTATTTTAAATTTTATTACAACAAGCTTTTCTTTTCTTGTCTACTGACTTTGATTACTTGTTATAAACAGCGATACAATGCAGTTTCAATTTAAGAACTCACAGACATTTGTTGAAGATTATATTCTATATTTTTCTTTTAAGTTTATTATGTATATAATTTTGTTTTTAACGATAAAATTAAATATATTTATGTATAAAAATGAATGGCATTGTTCTAAGCTTTTAATTGTTATATGTTGATATTCCTACTTAAAGTCTAATTTGTATTGATAAGCAATATTAGAATTATTTTTTGATTCAATCGAGAGATTCATTTTATTCTTGATTTCTTTTTTATTATACAAACAATTGTATATTTATGATAATTTAAACTATTCATTCTTCGAGTGGAATTTAGTATATTTTAAACGCTCTCTTTGATTCTATAATCGTATTGGATAAAATACGATAATAGTATTAGAGAGAACGAAAAAAAAACAGACTATGTTTCTCTTGAAGAATTAGTCGGAATCGGTGGTTTTACATACCAAAAATACGCGATCATTTCTATGCAAAATCAGGAATGGTGCATTCCTAGTCCAATCCAGAAAAGAGGACTACAATCTTAGAAAATGTTAGATTTTCAAGGACTTGATATTATTGGCGAACAATGGAAACGTATTCCAAAGTATCTTTTAGATCGATATTTTTTCTGTAATAACATACGCATTCGAACTATTTTTCTTTTTTTTGTGTGTAGGATATATGTCTTTCAAATTATTGATTTAATTAAAAATGTCATTCAAATGTATTATTTAGACAAAAAAAAAAAGAAAAAGAGTCTATTTTTATATCTTCAAGGTCATAATGAAGGATATACCTTTTTTTTTCATTTTCTTTTGACTTATTTGTTTATATTTATACTATAGATATATTTGTAATGATTTAATTTATTTTAAAAGTTTTAGTCTTATAGAATAAAAGTTTATTGAAAAATAATTTTTATTGAATGAATCTTTTTATTCTTTGAAGTATTTTATGAAGAAGTTTATAGAAAAAAGAAAAAAGGTTGTAAGAGTGAGACTAAATTCCGGAAAAAGTCTAATTGTCAAAAAATTAATATTATGGAAAAAAAATTCAGCAAGAAAGCTACATGCGTCATATTTATATTTCTTCTTAATGAATTCTTTTTTGCTGTAAGGCTGAAACTTTCAGAATAAGTAATCAACGATATATTTATAGTAGAAACGTAAGGTCAGAAACGACAATATAATATTGAGAAATAATCAAACATACAAGATGTATCGTTTATATTAGCTTGGATAGTATAGAGAAATGCATTATAAATCCAATCATCAATAATGACAAGAACTGCGCCACATATATATATATGTCATACTGAGCATAACATAGCTTGTAAATAGAACAATAATATTATTTTATAAGGTATTTCATCATTTATTTTAAGAGATTTTTAATAGATCACAGATACATGATTTTATATAAATAATTCAAAATTTTTTGTTTTCGAGAGACAAACAGCGGACTTAAAGCTTCCAAGTCTTCACTGTTTCTCACCGAATTTTTCCTTTATAGTATTGAAGAAAAAATTTTTCAAAATTAAATCAATATTTCTGAAATTTATATCTTCTACAGTCCTGCATAAATGTAACTATCTATTACTATTCTTTATAACATTGAGTTGATATTTTGGGTACATACATGAGAAAATAAACTCTGATTACAAGCACTAACTTATCTCGAATGGTTCTTGTATATTGAAGTTATGAGTCAGACATTATCTTTCTCTTATGGCCACCTTATCTCAATAATGATTCCATAAATATTTTTATCCAACTTGTCATTCGAAAGTTCAATGTAGAAATAATTTCTAGTCCAAATTTCACTAGAAATCATATTAAAATATTATCTTCTCATAAAGAATATATTCGAATCTAGTCTATAAGTTTTATCGTTGCAGTTCTGAATGAAGTTGAATTAACACTACAAAATATGTATACTATCTCAGAGTGTAATAATTACTAAGATCTTAACTATGTGTCAAGGATTTTAGTGATAATAAAGTAGACATATGGGACTGCTGTTAGAGCTAGAAAAAAAAACGTAGTAGTAGCTCGTAGAATAGCAAAATGGCAAACAAAAAAAAAAGTTTTTTTTGAATGTATATTTTCGCTGAATATGTTTTTTTTTACATGAGAAAGAAGGTAGACTGGAATTTCGCTACCTTAATTTTTGTCCAATTTCCACTGGACTTTTTGATAACAAAAAGATTGTTAGAATTCCAGCTGGAAATTGAACAAATTGTTGAAATTATAAAGTTTTATCGATATTCTTTCTTCATTCCACTGTATCTCATTGGTAAACCGGAATTTCGACAAACTGATTTTTTTTTTTGGTTGTTGAGATTCCGGCGGAAATTGCACAAATTACCAAAAGTTTAGCTGCCGAAATTCCACATAATCAAGAAAGACTATGTGTGCATCGTGACTTCAGCGCATGTAAATCGATGAAGAGCGGATTGTTGTTTTCGATCAGAGTTTATTATTGTATGTATCTATCCAAAATATCAACTCAATGTGATTAAGAATAGTAGCACTGTATGAGATGCAGTTACTTTTGTTTAAGACTATATATGAAAATGTGATTTAATAAATTGGTTGCCTTGACTATTTATCTTTGTTTGTTTGTTTTTTCATATTTCGATCTATGTTTTGTTTTTTATTTAATTAATTGTGTATGGTTATTTGTTCTGTTGTTTTGTAATTTCTTCGTCGTATACAATTGATTTATTTTGATTTTTATAATGATACGATTGTTGAAATCTATTCGACAATATTTTTTAATTGCATTTATGACATATATAATATTTATTTTATTAGTTTTTCTAATTTATTTTATATTAATTATTATAGAAAAATATATTCCAATTATAAGTTTCTATGCTTATTCAATTGGTGATTATCTATTGAATGGATTTTATCTATTTTCATTACCTTTACGATATTTTTTACCTAATTTAACAGATGATGAATATTATTTAATATTACTTAATATTATTATCATAATATTTTCTTTTATTTATGCTTATCTATTTTGTAAGTTGAATCATATTTAACATAAAAATATATAAAAAATCTAAATAGATAAATATTCATTTCTAGATATCATACATCCTAATATGTTTACAGGTATTTCTCTAATTCAGAATACAGCTTATTTACAATGGTTTGAAATACAACGACGTCGATTTCAAGAAAATCATAGAGCTGGTTAAGAAAAGCTTATTTAATGAAAAAAAAAGAAACAAATAAGCTAGTAAAGAGACAATAATATATAACAAAACATTGAATAATTTTATTTTTCTCTTTTGATTATTAATGAATTTTGAGAAATAATACTTTGAAAAAGAGTTAAATAATATAAATTTTATTGATTACTTGAGTTAGATCAATTCTAATAAATGCATATAGAAGTATTTTATGATGAAATACATAAAAATATTACCTTGAACTCAAGTATTAGATTTGAACATATCTCATGAGTATTTTATT